TAAACTGCCAAAACGTCTACCTTCATAATTGCCAAATATTTGATTCGTTACATAATTAATTTACTCGCAAGTCGAAAATTCACCAAAAACGAGCGCCTGTAAAGATTAAATTCGAAGCGAATGCCTTGATGTTCGCCCTGCGCGCTCGTGCGTTCATCGCATTGATTACGGAATAAATTTCGAAGCGGTAATTTAATGAATCGAAGCCGGGGTTGACGAGACGCTGCAGCCGCAACGACGAAAGTTGGCAGACGCAGGTCAAGCTCTCATAAAACGTCAATTACACGCTTTTATGCTCCTCGACCGTCACTCAGCGCAACTTCAGCGGGGCCGTTAAATGTAAAACAGCCAGACGAGCGCAAAATTGTTGTAAACCACCGGCACATTGAACAATTTAAACGCTGATACAGTAGGCCACAAAAAATCCATCGTCTAAATAAACACACAAAACTTTAGCAAAACTCATTATATCGAACGCAGTTTATGAAAGCAACGGTGCTTTGTTTTCTTTATCGCCCCGAAAGTTGGAATGTTGGAAATGTAAATTTCAGGCGGCCGCGACTTGTGCGCACAGCCTGTAACGTGGCGCGCAATAAACGTACTACAAGTGGCACAAAATAATAGCCTTGCAAGTTTAAGTCGACGAAACTACTCGAACCGCAAGGCGAATGAGGAGCCGCGCATGTTTGCGGTCATAAAAGCAGCAAAGGGGGCGCAGCAAAAAGTTAAAAGCTTCCAAATGGAAGGCGCGCACGAAGGGCTCGGAAAAATCGCGCACGGAATTTGATAAGCTCGTTACGTTAACGCTTAATCGTCTAATCAACTCGTTGGGGCATTGTCGGCCATAAGACGGCCGGGGGCGATGCATTTAGTCGCTTTATCTCGATGTACACGGACGTTGATTAATCAAATTGAACCGGCGGATTTACAAACGCGATAGTTAAACAAACCCGCGAAGATCACAATGGATGAAAAATCGTCGCGCATGCAATGCGAGTCGTTATTTTGCGCCTGAAAGCGAATTATTAATAAGTGTGTTTTTGTTTAACGCAAATGGATGACGACGGCGCACAATAACGTTGAAAGCACGCGAAGGACTATCCATTACGCTTTCCGAAAGTTTCAAAAACTCGCCCAGAGTGCATCCAGCAAACACAGTGATAAAGTCGTTACACAATGTTCGTTGTTACCGGCCGTAACTCGTCGCGATTACGTCGATTACGTATACAATCGATGGCGGCGCGTCCGAGTTCAGCTCGGGAGTCGTGAATTATAACGCGTCGTTCCGTTAAGCACTGCACCATCGCAGAATATTGAATACACCCGGGGCGCGGTCATTTATTAAAAATCGCGCGGGCGCGCGCGCCCACCACGCACCGCAACGCAACACAAACCGGCGAAAAAAATATACGCGGCGGGCGCGCAGCACGTGAAATAAATTATGGCCCGGCGTTGTCCTGCCGCCGGCGGCGAGCAAACAGCGCGGAAACGACAAAACCGCAGGCGGACATGTGTTCGGCTTACGAAATCGGCTTCGGCGCGCAATAAAAACCAGATTTGCATCGATTCAAACTGCGCCGCCAATTTCATTTGTTTGCATTGGCTCGCGATATTTTAACCGCTGCGGACGAGCGCATTGATCCCGGAACGGTCCCAGAGCTGAGCCGGGTCCGGTTGGGGGATTGTTAGCGACAATTGATACGTCGGCCGCCTTTTTTTGCGCGCCCGCCGACCGCTGATTGTGCAAATATTTGCGGATTGGCTGTAAGTGCTGCGATACTTGCTCGCCGGCATATGTGACGACGCTCGGGTCTTGAATCCACCCTCTGAAACCCATCCGACCGGAGACCGGAGTGCGACATCCGATCAAACAAATGTTTTGCGCTGGATTTTATGCTAACGATATTTGTATTATAATGTTGCCATTTCGCGCAGAGCGCAAAGCGCAGCGTCCACGACATGAGTGACAGGCAGTGCTTGGGGGTGTGTGTTGAGGGTGCGTTTATCGCCCGAATATATCACGATGTGTGCATAAGTGGAACGCAAACAGTGCGCACCCCAAAAGTGCAAATGCCAAACCTAACGAATTCGAATCTGAATCCAGACCAAATTTGCAGCAATGGATTTAGATGGTTTCGAGAGGGCGCACGTATTCAAAACGCACACAATAGCGAGCACGTCGAGCGTGTTCTTTGTAATCGCAATCATTTATTTATTTCTCTGCACTCAAGCAGAGCTTAACCGTATTTTGATACGCGTCGGTGCAGAGCTGTTGCGCGTTGTGGACGCTCCGTTGCACCCCGGACTGGATAAATCGAATCAGTAACAGGCTCCTCGCTTGAAAGACCCATCCGGGCTTGTTTGCAGACGGGCCACAATAAGATTCACGGCCGACAGGATGGCTGCACACCGGGTGATAACCGCGTGCACCTATTAGCGCGAAACGGTTTCGATGTTTTCAAAGTACCATTGTTGCCCATTGTAATAAATATAAAATTAGCGGTCGAAACCGCTCTGAATCAATAAACCGAATTCTGAATATACATGTAGCTACACATGTCCTTTGTAATCATTTAATGTCGGTGGATGAATGTTTCATTTTCTCGATTTGTCGTGCATGCTTTCGTTTCGGTTTGTTGTAGCGCCTAATTCAATTGCTGCGCATGGATGAATTTAAAAAAAAATCACATTTTTGGTGAAAATAAAAAATCCGCGCGAGAAAAACATTGTGCTGGTCACAAAAAATAAATGTGCGTGTGCCTTATCCATATAAGCACACACTGTAACTTAGATTTTCTGGTAATTTTATTTTCTAAATCGTATTTACTCATGTTATCTTTTTTTTAACCTATAAACCAACGTTGGAGTTAACGTGCATGTTCCGAACATGTCAAAAAGCCATATTAAAATATTTTCCTAACATTGTTTTTAACATTCTTTTTGATATGCGAGTGCTGATAGAGAAATAAAACTAGGGGAAATAAAAAAAATTGAAGTGACATTTTCTATTTCGTATATTATCGCCGGCCAAACTTGATCCAGACAAGCGTGGCTTGTGCGCTGGCTTCACCTAATGGATTCATTAGAAAATTAATCAAAGTCGACGACAACGCACTCGACGTCATCGCCGATGAGTTCGCTCCATTGCATTTGCTAATAGTTGAAAATAGATGAAAATCTGCACGTCACGCTATCGCGTTCCTCCCTTCTCGATGATTAACAAGCTTTCAGGGTCGAAAGGAAGCTTTCACCGTCGAGCAGCGCAAACGATGTTTGCTCAACGCGAAAATTTCCCCGGCGTTCATTCGCGTTTCGTTCGTTTTTTTGTTCCTCTCGGTCTGCCGGCGCCTTCGGGCCGCCTGCCTGCCTCCGCTGCGTTCGGTCATTAAAGTCTTGCGGAATGCCGGCGGGCTCGCTGCCGATAGGGGCCATTCAAAGTGTTTACATTAATAAAATCTTCGTCGCCCTTCGAAATCGGCGCGATGCAGCGTAATGATCGCGCTGACGTGTCCCGCGAGCGTTCGTTAGCGAAGAATGGAGGATGATAAAATATTAAAGCGGATTGCGCGCTCCGGTCGAATCGGAGGAATACGAAGACGGTCGGTGTGTCCCTGTACACATAACATTCCTCGGGTGTGTGTGGCAGGAAGAGGTAAAAAGTGCACGAGGAAAAATGCGCTATAAAAAATAATGATACCGAGCGCGGATGATTAATTATGCGCGTGTTGTGTTTGCATATTCTAACTAAGGCTTATACTTCCACCGGCGCTTAAGTGCGCTAAGCGCGCAACTTGTGTGTGATGTTTCTTTTTTGCGTGTCGCCGGCGCGCTCGCAAAACTTTCTTTTGTATTCAGATTTTGTCTCGTCAAGGTTCTCGTTGCGGTGCACGATGCGGATCGATTAAGGACGCGACAGCGCCCGCAATATATCTAAATAACGCAGCGTTTAAACGCGCATTGAAAACCGAACAAAGAAAGAATACTGAATACACGTTACGAAGAATTTTATTATCTGGCTCAGTGTGCTTGTATATTTTTTTCCAAATAGTTGGAGACGTGGGGTGCACGCTTCGAAGGAAACGAAACAATGCACGAGGGGAGACGCACGCAAGTGGGGTTGTAAACAAATAGTACTGCACGCTGCGGTCGATCGTCGAGGAAAAAATATTGAAATAAAGATGTTGGGATTGGCGCGCGTCCCTGGATACACGTTCGGGGAATCGGAGAAACATCTCTGCCCGTCTATCGCGTAGGAATTTATCGAGCGCACCGAATTAGGCCGGGGAAGCCCAGCGAACAATTCGATGCAATACGTCTCATAATGGACCGTACGCGTATTGCTCGCGGCTCGCGGGGTGTTTTATGGCCTGTCAAACAAGGGCGCCGAATGCACGCGTCGCGATTTTCTCCCTTTCGCGGCTGTGCTATTTGTACAACGCATTGTTATGTTGTGTGTTTGTGTTTAAGCACTGCTGCTGCCAGTCCGTGGCCCGGAGAAGTGCTCGAAGAGGGTCCGCCGTGTGTGCAATTATTCAAATCGGGCGCGCACATATTCGCACTATTGGGCCGAACGCTCTATTAGTCTTCTTGTGTAGAGATCTAGATGGATTACCGGGACCCGTCGATGCTCCCTTCTGGCGTCGACCCCTACATAGCAAACCGATACTACGTTTAAATAACAATATACGCCAATAAAGCATGCGTCCCCAAATAAATGAGCTGTTTCCCCGCCGTGACTGATAGGCGAATTTACATTATGCAAATTGGCTTGTTATGTGTGTTTCATAATGCGGCGTGGGTGAAAGAAGCGTCCGCCGATGGAATGTCATTATCAGTGCCTTATAAATCAATCCGCGCGTCCTGTCCGCGAGTGCGGAATTCGCGCACCCTCACTCCCTCTCAAACTACGAATGGTACAATCGAACTGACATGCAATATCCTAACAATGTACTCGTAACTGTGATGAATATCTAAATTTAGCGGACAATTCAACTTTTCAGTGGCAGTGACAGTGACTCAGCGCTGCGTCGACGACTGGTTTACGTAAATAAAAAAAAGCCCTCATTGAATTATAATAGAATGCGTACCGGCCGCATTGCAGGAAGAAGATGTCATCCAAAAGAAGAAGATAGTCAGTCACGTCAATATTGATCAATGCTGAATGCTCATTTGTCATCTGCTCGGCTCATTGTCATGCATGCAAATATTTGTTGGCGCCGAACGTAATTTTTCAAAACCAACCAGCACACGCTGGTAATCGTTAGGTAAGTAAACAAACATGTAAATAATGTCGAACGCGCCCGCGTGCATTCACGAAACTTTTGTACCATTCGTAGTTCGGGCGGTTTCGCCGCCAACCGCCCGCCTTGAGGCAGATGCGTTTTTCATGGCATATATGTACTTGTTCATGTGTAATCCCGATCGCTCCCTTCCTCACCATCGTCGCCCGCGGGATGCTCGTGACTGATGTGCGCTTGACGCCTCTGACACCGACCTGAACTTGCGAGGGAAACTGCAAACTATCGTTTGTTTGTCCTCGCGTCTCGCGCAGGAGCGTAATCACGTTGTGAACGTGGTTTGTTCGCCCTTCACGATTTTTCGAGTTGTCTAACAAGGCAATGACTATGAATGGTACATGAAAGTTTCGTTGTTGCACACATCCACACACGCACACGTGCAGAAACACCGTGTGTGCGAGTGTTAAATGAACTAGGATTAAGTATGCACTGGCGGTGAAGAAGGCTTTCTTTTTTTCCGACGGGGTGGGTGGAGATGCTGGAAGTTAATTTCCGCATTTTTACATTTCAATTTCCACGATGTTCTTACGCTTGCCGCACTTTATTCCGATTCAGTTCGGTTCGGTTCGAATAAATAAATCTTCCGTATTTGCAAACCGGGTAACCGCCGCCACCACCGCCACGACGCAAAAAAGTGCGCACGAAACAAACCCCTGTTTTACTCGCGCAAACAGCGGGGTAAGGCGCAAAAACGCGCCGCGTACCAAGGCAGGAAACGCGAAAGGAAAACCGTGCAATAAAAATGCTAAAATAGTAAAATCTTAAATTCAAATTCGTATCGGTCGAGTCATGCGCACGCCTCAATAATTTATTGTCCGTCGTTTACTCAATTCTCAATTTCGCAGACTTTCTTGGTGCGGCTGGCGGGCGGGCGGTCGGAGTTCTTCGCTTGTTCTCTTCACTGGCTGCGTTTTAAAGTTCGCAGACAAACGCGGCGTGTCCCAGAATAAACTCGCGCCGCACCCAGCCCGCGGGTTAAGAATAAAGGGTCGCTTTTGAGTAATTATAGAGTAGGCGTAATTCGCTCGCAAATAAATAATAAATGTCCGGCCGGCGTTTTGTGCACGCGGATTGAATACTGCCGGGGGCTGGATGTGTTCGGTTGTGGGAAGAAAGGTGGATGACAACGACGCAGTTCAACGCCGCTCCCAAATACGCAAACGAATTTTAATTCAAATTATGTACGGCTCGTTATATTATGAAATCTGTTCGAGTTCAGTTCATGAGCGCCGCTGCGCCGCGCCGTTCGCCGAATTTCCATAAAACTGTCGTAATCATTAATTCAAAAACGGCGGGCCGCCACCGGTCGCGGGGTGCGGCCTAGCCGGAGAGCCGAAAGTCAAAAGCTCGCCGCCCCCTGCCCGGACGGCAATTATGTCGAATCTGATCCGGCGCGCTTAAGGACTTTTAAATTTATAAGCGCCAAGATGCGAGCGCCCAAGAACGCGGGATTTTAATAATTTCGGCAAACGTTGAATAAATAATAGAAAGGTCTAAATGTTCGCGCTGTACAAAAAGGGTCCTGTTGGAAGTTTAATCAGTACGAGTAGGATATTATTAAAAACACCGGCGGACGGCCGAAAAGAGTGGTGTTCGGGGTCGAAATTAAGAATTTGATTAATCCGTGTTCATCGTCGCGCATGGCTGGCCGCGAGCAAGACGGGCCACTCGAACAACACAGTAGTTTCCTTTGAAAACGTACAACGGCGGCGTATCGATTCCCGTCTCGAGTGTTTCAAAGCGCGCGCTGAAAGCCGCCTCCGTCCGGTCGCGCGCTTTCAATCAGACCCCACTTGCGTCCCCTTTTCAGCGTGAAATCGTTCGAAAAGGCGACTTGTTGGTCCTTTCTTCTTCTCCTCCTCAGGCCGAGTACGATAAAGCGTTGCAGGTGAAATACGTGTTGCCATTATTTAAGCTACATACATCAGCCGCATCTATTCGGGAGCGGAAAGCTGGCCGGGAGAAAGAACGGAGCGCGTGCGGCACCCAGCGCCGGATATACAAAAAAAAAAAGGAGGAAGGAACGTTTGGCGTGGCAGAACCGGAGGAAAAACGCGCGGCCGAGGTACATTAGCTACGGAGAAAACGAAGAAAATGGGAATGTCGCCTGATGGACTGTGACTTTTGCTTAATCGTTCGCGATTTATTCCTAACGACGTTCCGAATGCGCGCGCCAGCCGGGACCCACGAAGCTTTCGGTTTGCCATTACGTCCGGCCCATTTTCGGGCGGCCCCACGCGCGTAAAAAGAATGGCACTACTCGCAAATAAAGCGGAAAAAAGCGATCCGCGCGCGTGTCGCGAGATTTTGAACGTCCGTGCGTCTTGCGCGCCGAAAAAAATATATTATTGTGGTACGGGTGGTAAATTTGAGTTGTCCCGATAGCGCACGCCGTCGACGAGTGAAAAGAAAGCGCTCGGCATGCCCTCTCGAGATGCGCGTCGTATTTATTGTTTGCCACAAATCACCCTCCGACGACGGCGGCGACCTTTAGCTCAGAGCCCGAGCGCGCTGGATCGCTCCGGCCGCTTTTCGCCTTCGGCAGATAACTTCTGCGTAAAGAAAAGCGTCTCATTTGTCAAATATTATATGGCGACGACGAGCAATAGAATGCCCTTCTTCGCCGCTGCGCTCCGAAGAGAAAAAAGAAAGACGAGATTTCGGTCGAGATCGCCGCTGAACAGCGTTCCTATTTGTTAGGGGCAAATGATTTCGCAACGAAAAAGTTTGGTATTACGCGCATATTAGTTTTTATCGGCGATGAAAAATCGCTCTCCAACTCTAAAACTCTCCAAGACAAACGGCGCGCAGAAATATCGACGGAATTTATTGTGTGCGATGGCGCGGCGCATCCTAAGAACGAAATCCTCGTGTAAAACAAAGCCAATTAACCTATTTTCCTCATTCGTCATTTTTTGAAATCCAATCCCCCGCCGTCAACCAGCAGTTTCGAGAAAATTTCCAGCGCAGGTAAAAGCATTCCAGGCGTCGAGTTTCAATTTGTCTTTCGTCATTAATATAGATTGTAAACATCACGGGTACCACTAATGAATCGCGTTGCGATTGTCGAAGAATCGATGTAATTTAACACCGATGCGTTCTTTTTTCTTGCAGGCATTAATGGCGACCTCCACCTGCTCGACATGGACATGCCAACGGACGTGCGCGTCCCCGTCTTTCTCACTTCCGGGCAAACGTATCGCATCGCCATCGGCAGCACCGTCATCCTACCCTGCAAAATCAACGATCCAGGTAGGGTTTTCTATCCAATCTTTTTTAATCTCTAGGGTGGGTGGGAAGCGTGTAAACGTGACAAATCCCAATTAATTAACACGTGCGCTTCTGTTGTTTACCGAGCAGGCAGTTTCGTCCTTGTTTGGAAGCGTGGCATAGCCGTTTTAACCGCTGGCGCCGTGAAAGTGACCCCGGATACTCGTGTAAGTCTTCTGCAATGGACTCCGAACGGCGGGGCTCCCGACATACCCGGCTTGTCCAATGGTGGTAGTTATTCTTTGGAGTTGAAGAACGTTCGCCCGCAGGATGCCGGTGACTACGTCTGTCAGGTGGGATCCATCGAGCCCAAAGAGATTACGCACACTCTGGAGATCTTAGGTTTGTTTGCCAACCCTCGACCCGCAACCTCCTTCCACGAGGAGTTGTAGCGCCTACGATATCCGATGATTAACGCATTGTTTCCGCACGCAGTGCCGCCACGCATCCATCACGTGTCCCATCTGGCGCCGTTCGAGGTGCTGCAAGGCGCCACCGTTAAGATGGAGTGTCGCGCTTCGGGCAATCCGGTGCCGGCCATTGCCTGGACGCGCAAGAACGGCGCCTTGCCAAGCGGCGAACGCACCGTCTCGGGCATGTCGCTCGTCATCCAGCATGCTGATCGTCATGCCAGCGGAGTCTACCAATGCGCTGCTGACAACGGTGTAGGCCAACCGGACATCAAACAAATCTCTCTCACTGTTCTCTGTAAGAATCTCCTCTTCGCATTTTATTCGGCTATCTTTTCCATTATTTTGTATCTTTACGTTTGGGAATCTGTCTGTGTTGTGTACAGTTGCACCGGAAATCGAAGCGGAACGTGGCTCTGTTCATTCGGGAATCGGAATTGAGGCGCAGTTGGTTTGCAACGTATACGCCGAGCCGGAAGCCAATGTTATCTGGTACAAGGACTCCACCCAGCTGGGCACCACTGAGCGTCATGCTTCGCACACCCACGGCAACCGATACTCCTTCATCATTCGCAACGTCACGTCCGAGGATTTTGGCAATTACAGGTAAGATGAGCGTCACGAGTGCTCGCCGATAATTTTTCCTCGGGCAGTAGAGTTTCACGGAGTTAACACGATTACAGCTGCGTGGCCAACAACGTTCATGGACGCGCTCGTGATCATGTGACCCTCACCGGTATTGCTTCTACTGCCCAGTTTGAATCCCCAGCTATCAGTGATGAAAAGGACACCTACAACATCTCCTGGTACGTCAACAGCCACGCTGCCGTTTTGGAATATCGCCTCTTCTACAGACAAGTCCAAGCTCACCGCCGTAAGACCCATGGGGAATCCTCCCCATCCTTTTCCACCTCGGTGGTGTACGGTACCCTCAAGACCAGTCATGACACTCTCGCTAATGGTAATAATGGCAACGCAAACGGTAACAACAATGGAAACAACAACGGTAATGCCCGCGGTACTCAAATCCCATCATTCAAAGCCGACTGGGCCAGTGTAATCATCCCCGGTGCAGGAGTTCGCAGCCCTTCAATGCACATCGCCCCACCGTACCCCGCAGTTACTCGCCAGAAGATGTGGTATGTCATCAAAGCCCTCCAACCAGGAACTCAGTATGAAGCACGAGTACAGGCACGGAACCGTTACGGATGGAACAAAATCAGCCAAAACTACCATTTCTCAACCCGCAGTAACGGTAAGTCTTGATAGGGGTGATTACCGCTGCATGCGCTCCCAATCTAACGTATCCCCAGGCGCTAATCACATTGCGGTGTGCTCCGATTATATTCCCACAGATATTGAAAACATGGTGGAACCCTCTGCCCAGCCCGCAGTTTATGGCAGCAACCAGAATTCGCTACTCAATAACGCTCCGGCAATGAACAAGGATTATCTCGGCATGGCCTCTCTGCTCTTCGTCGCCGTCGCCCTGGCATTCTAAATCTAACCAGACAGCAACGAAAAGGAAATATGGTCCAACACACAACCGGCACAAAGCATTAGTAAGGTAGGCGGCAATTCGCGTTCATCAACAAAAAACCCATCATCCACAATCACCTGCGAGGACTGACGGCACGATACGTACAAAAGGAAATCAACCATTCCACCCCCACCCAAATTCTCGATAACCTAACATGCAGTAGTTTTGCCGCCGGCCGCACGAACCCGTTGACGAAACCCGGCGCTACAAAGTCATACTCTCTTTTATCTTACTCAATTTCATGTGGTAATTGTACGTCTACGTCGATAACGCATCGCGTTTCGACGAAAGTGATTAATGTCCCTCTGACCGCCTCACCACTGGCAAACCACCAACGATAGCTCCCTTCATACCCCCGCCCTTACAATTCTTTCCGAAACACAACAATCATTCATACCAACCTATCAAGTAGTATGCATAACTCTGATGATGATGATGATGAATTAAGCAGAAGAAAAATTATAAAAAATGAAAAAGAAAATATGAAGTTATCTGTTGATCTGATGTGTTTTATTGATGAGAGATGCGCAAGCAGCGAATTGTAACATTCGTCGCGGCGTTGGAGGAACGAATAGCTACCACAGACGATCACTCGACATGAGTATCATTCTAGTGCATTCTGTCCGATCGAGTGGAGTGAAAACAAACACAACGTACGTCGTACTTTCAACGTGATCGTATGTGGACGTTATAAAAGAGTAACAATTTAAATAATTAAATTTTAAATAAAACGATAAAAAATCTATTGTCTCATCGATGTGTAGAATTAATTAATGAAAAGGAAAATGCAGTCGTTTTTATTGTATGATTCTTCTCGATCGGGTTCGAAGTGAAGATTGAGATGTTCGTGAACATTTTGAACGTGAATGGAACGCGACGCGTGTCGCGAGCGCGCGTCTGCCCATAAACCGTAAGCGCCGAGGACATGGATTTCTTCCTGATTCCCACACATCGACACACACACTCACACACGTCTCACACGCACACGTTTACGAACCAAAGATTTATATCTGTTTCAATTACCGATAGTAAGATATATGTAATGTCATATCAATATTTTGAACGTTCTAAATGTACTAATCGAAGTACGGCGATGGAGATCTGTGTTGACGAGGGTGACGAAGATTTGTGTATTTGTGTTAATGCTACATACATGTTTTATCGCATAATCCTCCTTGTACTCTCCGAGCTGCAAGCCAACCGCGGGTTGGCTTGAATTTGGGAATGCAGGACGAACGGACTAGATCAGAGGACAAACGGATGACACGAACGGCAAAATGTGAACGCGCTTTTTCGGCTTTGCACAATTTATACAAAAATTGAATAAAACGACGAACAAAAATTATATTGAAGAAGAAAACTATTTAACAAAGAAAATGAAATTGTAAAAAAAATTACATATTATTAGTTTATTCGTATAGGCAAAACAATCGGCAGTTTGTAATTAAGAGAAATATTAGCAAATGTACGAAATTTACGACAGAATTTAACAGAGTCTTATCGTCACCTCACTTAATTGAAGGTGAACGCAAAACTTCACCGAACCGAACAAACAAAATTTAGAAATTGTAAAACTTATTATTGATTTTATTATTGGGTAAATACGTAATTTGATAAATGTACATAAAGACTGATATTAACTATTTTTATATAAGAAGGTGCAATAATATTAAGGCCATTATTACCGTTCGATTAATTAAAACATCGGATTAAGAACTTACGAACACACTAAGGCAGCACGACGAGGCGCGGCGAGCATAATGAATAATTCCAGCGATTGCAACACCGACTAATGACCAAAGCGCGCCGTCGAATCGAATGGCAATTCGAAGCTCGAATTATATGAAATAGTGAAGGTCGCGAATTGATGATCAACTGAACCGGATGCTGGCTTGTAGTACTAATTATTAAATGGGGTCCCCCTTCGTAATTGTAACACACACACTTAAGCGAATGTTAAGACAAACCTAAGAGATATGAAACCAAAAAAAAAATGAATCCAAAAAATGCAACCATTAAGCAAACCCTATAACTTTAATCAATTGATGATCAATTAGGCGCATTGTCAATGTATTATGATTATAATTAACTTATGAAATTATAAAGCACTGGTCTACGCGTGGGATGGTCTGGTTACTTCTTGCGCGAACGAAACGCTTTCATTTCTCTCTTCGTGGATGTGATTCAAAATGCACACACTGTAATTGTATTCTATATGTAAGTGTAACCTTTATGGGAGCTGTGAAAACACGAGCGAGGAGCGTAGGCCAGTGTTGTTAATGGATTAATTATCCGTAAAGATGTGTATAAGTGATGTAAATAAAGCTTATCCCAAAAAAATAAACAAAATTAAATGAAACTGAGTGTGGTTTTACTTCTCGCCCGGTATTTATTCGATTTCAGGACGGAACAATTTGCGAGGTGTGACAATCGCAAATATTTTTTGTCTCTTTTCAAATTTTCAATCGACAATCGACTGGAAAACTGAATGGAACGAACGCGCCGGAAGTAGAAAAACGCGATCGAATTTTTTAATTTCCAGGGGACTGTATCGTGCGACCGCTGCGGCAATGTGTGAGAGTTCATTCTTAATAATGCTTGATTGTGTTTCCGTGTTCGAGTGTGAATTGTTCGATATCTCCTCGTTTAGTAAAAGCCGAGAGCGTCGAGAGCTGAATCCGAAGTGGAGCATGTTAAGGTAAGTAAGTTTTATAAATTATCTGGCTTCGACCTGGTCAAAGTCGTAATTGTTATAAATACGCTACTGCAGGAAGCTCGTTGCGCCTGTTGCGTTAAGGGAAAGCGCGTGATCAAAATGGCCAGCGCCTTCGCAATATGGCCGTGTGATTATGCGGATATTACTGTTATTATATGCCGCGAGCCTCATCGTAAAATACTCATAACATATTTTATGCATGGAGGCGTCACTAAAACAAGTATTAGCTGCATCGCGGTTTTGAAAAATGCGAAAAACCGGAACACGTCTAGCGTCGTCTACGCGTAGGTACGTGCCGCATCGTAATATTCGGCTTTAAAATATGACGCAGGTAAGCCAGTTATTGCGCATAAATCTAGGACGGCGTAATGAAAATTCCAAAGATGGAGTGGATCCTCATTTTTCCAGTGTTCGTGCCGGCCGTCGCCATTCGCGTCGTTTTCTTTTCTCCGTCGAGCGGCGGCGCTTAACGCCGTACAGCGTTGTTACCGGCGGCGGCGGCACGCTCGCTAGTAACATAAGGTAACGATGTCGATGCGAACATAGGCCGCGCTGGTTCCGACGATATTCGGTAATGAAACGTATGAATTATACGCGCGCTGCTATGGTGGCGGCGGCGAAAAAAAGCCGTCTTCGAGCACCCCCGCGCATATATATACACGTATACACATGCGTTCGGCCATAAAGCGACGAATTTACATTCTTTTATCGCGGACGCAAGGTATGCACCGGTTTTTATCGTTCGCATTTTGACGTTCGCTCCTTCGGCGCGGCTGAGTTTCGCGTGAGTTACGCGGCACGTACGCGCGAGGCGTAATTTCTTCGACTTCCTATAAGCATAAAAGTTACGTATTTTATGCGCGAATTAATAATAATTTCATAACGCGCTTGCACCGGTTTTATCTACGCGCCGTTAGAAATTGTGTATAGAATTTACGATAATTGCGCCCGAATATTACGCGATGGGGAAAAAATTGCCGGAGCCACTCAGATGCTTTTACTTTTTATGCAGTGTTTTTTACTTTTTTTAAATTTTATTTTTCAAGTTGGCCGCTTGATTTTATGCAGGAAAATAAATACGACAAACAGTAGTTTGTACCTTTGCATTTCGTTCCTTAGAAAATTAATCTCTTAATGTTTGCAATTATTCTTGCAATTAGACGGTGTTTTCACGGCACGAACCGCCTTGCAATATTCATAACGAGACGCGACAACAGCCAGAAGGACGCGCTGGAATAATCTGATTTGAAACATGAAACAATCTTTGACTTATCAGCTTAGTACTTCCGCCGCGACACGCAAACTGAACGCTAGTGTGCCGAGTCATACAAGTCAGCACTGGGCGTATTTTGCAGCGTAAGCCAATTTGCAACCAATTATGAAATTTTTACTTGAAGTTGTCGCGTATAGAACGATCGTAATCCCACGCGGAAGTATGATGGCAATTGTAACGACGTCGTGAAACTGTTCATCCTCAATTTTCAATACGATTACGTTACGATTACAAAATATGGCCATCAAAATGGATTGGATCGGATCGAGTGTAATCGAAACTCAGCCGCCTTTGAGTGTGCGAGATAAATCCGCCGCTGGATGTACCTGTTTGTGATTTTAATCGGATAGTCGATAAACGCCAGAAAGGAACGCTTCGATTCGCATCGAGCTGGCGGAGATTGACAAGTGAATTCAAGCGCGCCACGAATGGCGGCGTATATAAAATTATCCTCTGCGTCGCTTCAAGCTGCGGCTGTTTTTCGGCAAGAAGAGCGCGCGGAAAACCGCGCCGGCGGGCGCGACTCAATGGGGGCGCATTTTGTCGACGTATTGTGCTTTCCTTGCAGCGCACTCGTTCTCTGCTATCTATAATTCCGGCCGCGCGCCTCCATCACTTCCCATTAAGCTCCGCGCCGGTCGCATTCACGTTGCGCGTATGAATATTGCAATGTGCACAAGCCTCGTAAAACGTATTATGTGTGTGGCACTGCCGCACATTCCCCCCAGGCGATCGGAGTCCGTTCGACAATGTGGACACGACATGCTGACGAATGAATAATACACGCCGTAGCATCTGCATGTCTCAATCGATTCTCCGCTGCTCCCGCCGCCGCTTAAGACGGAGGACGCATTGCTTATACAATCTGTCTCCGCACGCGACACGTGCGCCGACCCTCGTCCCCGCCGAAACTCGATTATTCGCGTCCAAAGTTTCCAACTCTCCACACATTATTGCGCCACCAGTCGGATTTTACAATAAATTGCTCGCCAAATGGTCCCTTGAATAGCCGGTCAAATCCGCGCTTGGTTCGCAGTGTATCTACAAATTGTACGAGAGCGGGTACATGTTTGCCCGGGGACGGATTTTTGAGCGGATTTGCCGACGGAGGGTTAAACCAAAGCCACCTCTTGACCGCCGTGTATATAAACTGGAGCCGGGGCTCGCGTCTTCGACAAGAAAGCGCTGCAAACGTGCAACCGGTGGAGACCGAACACAATATTCCAAATAGAAGATACGCGCCCGACTGCCGATGAGATGAGGCCGCGCAAAACAGACTGGATAAGATAGAACTCTCGCCCAACGAAAGTCGAAACGTACACGTAAACTTACCCGCGCGCCAGCGTGTGTGTAAACTCTCATGCGATAAATCCGCACGCTTCTTAAGGTATCCGCAAGGATTATGATAAAGATCTACGAGTCTACACAAATACCAAGTGTCCCAAAACGTCTAACACGACAAATTACTCCTAGATAGACTAAATATATTTTAATTTTGATGAAAACTATTGTTTGGTTGGGTTGTATTGACTTTCTAAGTTTGATTAAAATTGTTTATTTTACTGGTAATGGAATGAAGATGTTTGCGTTCGACTGTGACTGTAGAGTGGAATAGAAATGGGAGTGCTTTCAGGTTGCACTGCCGAACGATGGATGAAGAGCCGGGCCGTGAGCAAGCGCACCCGAAACAGTTATAAATCTGGCCGCTTCATCTCCGGAGGAGGTCTTTGCGCGTACGTGAGCACCGCGCAAATCGCATCCGGACTGGGCCGACGCGCGTATTTAGTCGCGAGAGAATTTGTCGACTCGCCGCAAAAGTTTATCAAACGTCGCGACAAATCTTCCCGGCGCCTGCCGCCATCAAAGCCGTAACCACCGTAGCCGCCGCGGTGGCCATGAGAAATTATGTGGATTCAGGTGTTTTACGCATTAGACGCGCGCGACGTTGTCGTCGCGGCGTTTTTGCCATCCTCGAGGGCAAGAAAGTTTATGTTATGCATTGCCTTTCAACCGGGCGGAGCGCGCGCGACGCCGAGCTTAAGATAAGCTTCATATTTCATCTCGCGGACGCTGACGCGCGCCCGCGAGGCGAAAGTTCTCGCCTGAATAAAACGAGAACAAAAGCGCGCGCGTCTGCACGAGGCGCGAACGCTCGCCGCGCGCGCTGGTTAATAAAAAGGGATTGAGTTTTTATTGTAAACAAGGCGGCGGCTGGTGCAATTATGCAAAGACGCTCAGAACAACAGTTCGTTACGAGCTGACACCCGACGCGCGCGTGGAACAGCTGAACCACGGCCATTTGTGCAAACGATGATCATTAACTGGGATCTTTTCTGTTTCCACCGCATTCGCCATTTAGCTTTTATCGACTAGAATCGATAAATGCTGCGATAAAGGCACTTGAGGAGACCAGAGCTATTATTATTATCAACTTAATTTAAGGCTGCGTTAGCGTTACGATTTTTATTCTTTGCACAAGCTATAATCCTGATGCGTAAGTAAAATAATCCTTACAATTCACTATTTGCACATCGCACAGTCGTAATGACAGATGGATTTATTTTTAAACTTTTACCAGTCTTTTACAGGAAAAATCATATTTTCATAAAAATATTCAGATATTAAAAGGAAGCTTAATACTAACAGCACGGCAGAGCTGCATCTCACAATGAAGAGAAACGCATTAAACGCAGGTAAATCTCTTGTGTCCACAGTAAATTGAATTTCGCACGCAAAACGGCCATCGGTGAAAATTTAATCACTCGCGGTTGAAATATTCAACGTGACCGGCTTCGCCTAGTCCTGTCGCATAATACTCCTGCAATCAGCTACACTTTGCACCGCCACACATAATCCAAAAATCCATGCAGGCCAGCTATAAATAAATGACGTCCCGTGATGCATCCCGTGCACAAAAGTGAATAGAATAGCCGACGTGAGGTCACCTCATAATCCGATTCTTCCGCACCCATCGACTAATTTCAATCCGTGCATTGTTCGAGCGTAGAGATCAGTCGAGTTGAAATAATGGCGCGTTCAAATAGTTCATATTCAAATTACTACACGTGCCTACCGCACGCAGTTTACTGCACACGACCAAAATGCGTGAATTTGTTATTTTATATGCGTTGGCGTCGGCGATTTTACGATCGGTGTTAGCCGAACGTTTAAATAATGGTGCGCGATCGACGCCAGGGTTCAGTTTACACCAATTACGTGTTTAATTGATTCGGCCGTTTAATTGATGACAATATTATGATAACGCCGCTTTATGATTCGATCAATGCGTGCGACGCGATTTATTGCGCTCGGCAATTAAACTATTTCGCGCGAGCCGTTTTATCGACGCGATAATGTTGCGTGATTAATG